CTTTCCCTTTTCCCCATATAGCCTTCCAAACAGCCAGTTCTGTGGACCATACCTTTAAATATATCCTAAATCTTTCCAGTTTTCTCCCGCTCAACCTCTAAAACTCTTACTTAAGCCACCATCATCTTTTGGCTAGATTAACTAATAGTCACTTAAGTGTTCTCCTTGTCTCACTGAAAAATACATTTTTCACACAGCAGTTACATTAATTCTTAAAATGTGAAAATCAGATCATGTCACTCCCCTGGTTTTAAGCAAAGGATTCTCACTGCCTCTGGAATAAAACTCAAATGACTTACGTGGGCCACGAGGCCCTATCTGATATTGGCCCCCGCCTGCCTCACCGCACTGCACTCTCCTCTGTATCCACTGTGTCCTCACGGCACTGCTCTTTTGTCTATTTCTTTACCGCACCACGTTCCCTCCCACTTTTGTTCTTGCTGTTCCATCTGCACGAAACTCTTCTCCAGATCTTCACATGGTTCATCCTTCCCATCATTCAGGTCACAGCTCAAATGTCCCCTCCTAAGAGGGACTTCCTTGCCTATCTCTTTTCCAGTTATTCTAACAGCACTGTTTAATTTTTGTCACTGCGCCTGTTGTTATCTGACATGATCTTGGTCTTTTGCTTGTTTGCGTGTTTCCTTTCTCTGTCACTACAATGTTCAGTTCCAGGAGAAGACCCAATCTATCTTGCTCTCCACTGGATCCTCTGCACAATGAAGAGTTCCTTGCACAGAGTAGGATTCAAAAAAATGTGCTAAATGAAGGAAGGAGCCTCTTTTGTCCCAGCAACCATTCATAGATTGTTGACCAACTAATAATTTGGTGCCTACCCATCATCCAATCAGCTAAGAATGGCAGAGCCTCTAGGACCAAAATATGGCTGAACATGGGCTGGATCTGTAGCAGAGAGCAAGCACCCTATACTCATCTGGTTACATGCTTGGCATCCATTTATGGATCAAATGAGTGAATGAACAAGTTCCAAAGTTTGACAAGTCTCTGAGGACTCCTGGTGATGTACAGTGAGACTCTGAAGGAAGAGCTGAGTGTGCTCTGCTTTTTTTCATACTGTCTGTATTTTTCTTCCAGAAAGCATTATAAAAAGTGCTACAGACACACTGCTTATCTGGCTAGAGACATTTGGTTGAAAATTGAAGTGATTTTTAAAACTACAGAAACATAGTCGTCTGGGCACTAGTGATGAGCCTGAGCTAGAAAGGACTTCATATTACATTTTCATTTAGTCTTGCACAACATAAGGCATTTACATTCATTTTCTTCTATGGCACTGTTTGTTCCAGTATGAGATTTATGCTTTACATTTTTTATCTGCATAAAGGAAACATTAAACTTCATCATTCTTTAAGAACGTTCACTCTGCAGAGGGACAAAATTTCATCTCTAAAGCCCATGGTAATCAGAGTTGTACTTTCAAGTTTGGAAATGGTCAAGTTCATGTCTGTCTAAGATGATGGCGTCAACTGACAAAAAAAATCAGATTTAATGGTTCATTATCTGTAGCATTTACTCCCTCTAAACAATTTCTTGTGGTGACTTGTGAAAAGATCAGAGAAACCAGTCCCTTGTCATTTTGGCAAGCAATAAACTAAACATAGATATAAATAAGAATAAATTCTTGAAAATTAACCCTGGAGACACATTCTTTCATGATATTTTTGTATCTGTGAGGGAACAGGGATTGGCAAATGAGTTCACTTTGCAACCACTATTGGGCAGACTGTTTTCAAAGCCAACATTTAATGAGGGTTTGTTAAGATGAGCACCATGATGTACATTAATTTGATACATGAACTCTTAAAAAGTTCTGTCACATTGTGTAAATATTAATTTGTTAATTGAAGCAATTTGTTACAGACCTCCTTATCATTAGTAAAGAATAATAGGGCCTTAATTCTAATTATCTGCAGTGTAGCTCTGTGTGATGGTCACATTGGGTAAGGACTTCAGGGACATTAGGGCCAATTCCTACATAATCAAAGACTTGCTGTGGGTCCTGGATGAGGTGTGTAACCTCTCCATGTGTCAATTTCATTATGTCAAGTATTATTTTAAAAGACAAATCTCCATGAAGAGAATCTATTTTCTTGTCATTTTTAAATTTTCATCATTGCTAGGCACAGTGCCTGGCACCATACTGAATGTTTGAGCATTAATTAGTAAATCTCACAGGAGTGCTGACATAAGAAAGCAACTGGAGTGAGGGAGAGTGATAAGGAATGTATGCCAGGGATCAGAGATAGAGAAAGATGGGCATACTGTTTTCCCAGTATTTTTGCCAGGAATACAAATGTCTAATAATTATATAACAATGTGCTTATCCTCACTAATAATTAAATAAGTGCACTTATAGTATTCCATATTGGGAAGAATGTGGAGAATCAGGCACCTTCATATCCTCCTGGTGGGCATATCAATTGCTTTCTGCTGAGGAATTGGGAAAAATTTATAAAAATTTAAGGCTTGTGTACCTTTTGCCTCAGGAACTTACCTGACAAATGAAGTTATAAAACTATGTTAACTATAACATTGCTTGCAATAGTGAGAACCTGAAGCAACTAAATGTCTGTCACTAGGTGATTGGCTTAATAAATTATAGTATAGCTACACAATAAATTATGGTGCAACTATTAGGCCAAAAATGTGGTAGATCTAGAAGGGCTGACATGGAAAGATATTTACAACTGCTTTTGTTTTAAAAAAATACGAATTAACTTGCAAACTAATATTTATACCAGAATCAGTTTGAATCAAAAATGAGTACATGCAAACAAAAAGTCTGAAATGCTATACACCAAAACTCTTGATAGCGATTTTCTCTGAGAAATTACATTAAGGGAGATTCTGATATTCTTCTTCATTCACTTCTGTAAAACGAGATTTCTTGAAACAGAAGGAAAACGTGTTCCTTTTGCTAATAACAAAAAGATATTTAAAAATATGGTTATAAACAACAGAAAGTTTAACTGTCTTAGATGATGGGATGTAAGATGGTGGAAGAAAGGATGGAAAATGAAGCCCCTGGTAGGTGTGCTAAAATAAAACATGAATGTAGGGGTTGCTGAGCATAATTTTCAGCTAATTTCTAAAGATTCCAAGAGCCAATCAAGTACATCTTGGAAGAAGTCCCAATTCTGCACTTAGGAAAAGTGGTTCTCTGTACTTTCCACTTATTTCTGATATCTCAATGCTAGACTTAAGGACCATTACAGCCAAAGATCCTCCACTGTGATCAAAGATGCTCAAGTCCCATGATTTGTATCTGGGAACTCTCAGCTCGGGCTTCCTTCCACAATCCACCCCTTTGCCAGGGAAATGAGAATCTGCCACAGCACTAAACCCTTTGGAATAACTTTATTCTTAGAAAACCCTGTCATTTATGTGACTCCTTCACACTCAGCTGCCAGGTGACAGCTGCTACTTTGGCACAGAATCTTTCAAAATAAAAAGTAAAAAGTTCTACAAACTGTATGAGCAACAGCTCATTTATTTCAAATCCTAGCCAGCTGCACAAAGGAAAAAGGGTGATCATCATAGCTCCAGCCTAGAATTGTTTTTCCTTCACAGTTTATTCCTGGACTTGGGAAATCAACTGGAAAATCAATGTCACTAATTCTGAGTCCCAAGGAACACGATGTCTCTGAAAATCATTTCCTAAATCCCTTTTGCCTGCCGGCTTGCCTGTCTGTGGAGAGCACGCTACAAATCCAGGAGGGAGGAAAGGAGGCTCTGTAATTGCGGGGGTTTGTTAACTCAAGGATGTCACTGCTGCTCTTTACAGTGTGATGGTGAAGAGTGTGGTCTCTGAGGTAAGCCGCACCCAGACAAACCCAGACCCTCAAAGTCCACCCCTGCCACTTATCAGCAGTGTGACCTTGGGCAAGTCATTTACCCTCAATGAGCCTTAGTTTTCTCACCTGTCAAGTGGAGTTCAGAGTAGCTGTCTCATAGGGATGTTAGGGTATAATGTGTGTGGTATGCTTTGCACAGTTCCTCTTATATGATAAAATTATCAGTAAATAGTGGCTTTTATCTGACAATAATGATGCTGATGAGGATGATGATCACCATCATCATCTTCATCATCGTCACCATTGTTAAAAGAGAGTTTGGGATGGCAGTAAACAAATCCACTGAGACACCCATGGAAATCAGAAGATTTGGATAAGTTTCCAGGTTTGACATTTCTTAGCTGTGTGACCTTGAATAAAGTCTAAGTCTTTGTGTGCTATTCTGTAAAAAGGGGAGTAAAAATTCTCTGGCTCAGCCTCTGTTACAGTGTTGTTGTGACAATCAAGGGGATAATAACCATACCAATAATTGGCAATCTTTATATATATTATATATATATATATATATATACACACATACACATATATAAAATAAAAGAATTAACATATGCATCCTCCTTCCTGATTTCTATCCTTATTTCTACTGGGCTTAGGGGAAAAGGCAACTAGCACTTCAGCCTTTTTTGGGGGGACATGCTCAAAAGTACATTCTGGGGGGTAGTGAAATTGCTACAGTTTACCCATTACTACCAAGTTTAAATTACCATTTTCTTTCTCACTGTTTATTCTTTTTCATTTTAAGAGTAATATATGCCACAACAGAAAATTTGAGAGTAACAGAAAATAAAAACATCCATTTGCTTATTCATGGTGCTTCTCTTTTTCTATTTTATCACGTGAATTATAACAAATAAGCCAAATGTTTGCTTAAACCAAAGTAAAATCCCAAATATTTAAAAAAAAATCTATCAGCGTTAAAACACAAAATATCAGGCCATTGCAAATTGAAGCTCTTCCTACTTCTCCTTAGGTCAGCAGTTCTCCGAGTTCCGTGAGTCACCTGGGGACTCAGTAAATGGCAATCCTGGGCCCCACTGGCAGTAATGCTGATTCAGCAGGTCTGGAGCAGGATCTTGGAATCTCCGTTTTTAACAAACTTTCTACAGGATACAGATGCAGGTAGGGGGTCCCTGAACCTCACATTGAGAGAGACTCTAAAGTCCTGCCTCACGTCCGGGCCTCTGAATTCCCACAGCTGGATCCTGGAAGAGGAATTAGGAATGTGAATCTCAGTCGTACAGTTGTCACTTTGGACGCCCCAGGCGCCGAGGCTTTTACTGTTCGGTTCTGACTGTGGAGCGTCTGGCAAGCAGGCAGCTCGAGCACTTCCCACCTTTTCGTTTAACCTCGTGGCCCCGGGAGAATTCGATTCATCTCGTGGCTCACAAAATGCCATTCTCTCAGGGATGGGGGGAGGGTGGGAAAGGAGAGGACACACAGGGCTCCACCACTCAATTGACACCAGCTTGGCCTCATAAAGTATATTGTGTGACTTCTGGCCAACTGCTTGATAGCTCCAGGGGACACAAAGAATGTTTTAACGTTTCTCTGGTTCCAGAAGAGAAGGAAGCAGAGATGGAGATTAATGGGACCATGGAGCTGGCACCTAACATTTTCAAAGGACAGGACTTACATATAGATATGAGTGGGATGTTTCCTTCTGACATTCATGGGCTGTTATTATTAGCTGGATTCCTTTGTTCTTTTCTAGACAACTTAAAATCATTTTTTTTCCTCTCTCTCCAAATCTAAGGAAGAAAATAGATGAAAGGAAGAACTAGAACTTATTTTTATAACTTGGAAAAAAACGATGTTTGCGTTCTTCTAGGCTATAGAGCTTCTCCCAGGTAATGAGGTTCTGCCCACACCACTCCCCCATGCCTGCTCTGTAAAATTACACACAGCGAGACTGGGAACTACATAAAAGGCTCACGCAGCATACACTGATTTAATCTCTGCCGCTTGTCACCTCCCTATGGGTGCTCAACAGAAACAACAGCCTTGATTACACAACCTACAATCATTTTCAGTAAGTGCCCCAATCCTGGTCTTTAAAAGCCTGTTCAGATTTTACCTAAATAGGACAAATACCAGTGCAAGCTTTATGAGATTGAAAGAAAGAGACTTGCATAAAGCAATTTCATCGAATTTTTACATTTCCTTCTCCTCTCTCTGAAGCAGCAGTGGCTGGGGCACTCTCAGGGCTCCCGGCCAAGGTCAAGTAGAGCTGTTCCCCTGAAAAGGAACTCAATGTATTTCTATTTTCTCAGAATTAGAGATCTAATTCTCTCTCAAGGAAGCTTCAATCCAGTTTTCTCATTTGGCAGATGAGGAAACTGAGGTTCAGAGAGGAACTCTGTGCTGGTCATTGCCTGTTTGTTCTCAATTCTGTGCCCTGCTCCTCCCCTGTTCTGTTCTGCATCTCAGGGGCCTGATTTCCTTGCTAACCGCCTTCCAGTTAGGTTTGGCCAATGGGAAGCTCTGGTAGGAGACTGGAGGGCAGAAGCCAGGGAGAAGCCAGGGTATCTCGCCCCCTCTTTCTCTTGCTGCTTTGGGCAGCATCTCCAGCAGTGGCCGCATCTCTTCCTTGGTTCATGCTCCTTTTGGCTGCCTCCTCTCTCTATGGTCCCAGCTTCTGCCACACAGGCCCCATCTTCTGCTCTAATAAGACCACCTCCTCCCTTTGTGCCTCTTGCTCAGGGGTCAGTAAACTTCTTTTTTTAAGGGGACAGATACTCAATAATTTAGGCTTTATGGGCCAGTAGGCAAAACCAAGGATATTTTGTCAGCACTTACATAATGTTTAAAATGTAATCATTTAAAAATATAAAAAACATTCTTAGCTCATGAACCACATAAAAACAGGCAGTGGGCTGGCTGGATTTGCCTCAAGGGCCTTCCGTTGCCGACCCCTGCTCTAGCCTTAGGGTGGTGGTGGCTTCCCATAATTGCTAACCTCTGGACTGCCTCGTGGTCCCCTTTCCAATCATCCAAGCCCTGTCTCCCCACTTCCCTATGTTAACTTGTTAAAATTGAACCACCTGGCATGAGCTCTCTTTTCCTGACTAGACCCTGACCAGTACTGGCAATGACTTGTTTAAAACCATATTCCACAAAGTGGAATTATTATCTACTTCATAAATTTCTTATTGGTTTCAGAAATGCATTCGCAAACATGTCTCAATGGAATCATGTTAGTTTCTGTTCCAGTTAAGTCAGCTGACTGCCTATTGTGTTCTGACTGTCCTGGTTGGTGCCATAAGGCAGTGTTGAAAAACTAGTGGCCCCAAGGGGTGCCCATAAGCCAATGTCAAGGACAAAGAACTTAAAATATTGAAGTTGCTCCTAATACCAATCAAGTGCTACCGAACATCACTGGCAAAAGTGATGGAAAAAGCTGACAAACAGGGCTGGGTTGTAGATGCAAATTCCCATAGGAGGTAAGGTGTGGATGACCATGCAGATATGATGTGATATATATCCCGCCTTCCCCTTGCTGCTGCCTCCACCTTTGTCCAAGCCACCACCGTCAATTGCCCGGGGGGCTGCAGCTGTCTCCTAACTGCCTCCCTGACTTTATCCCTACCCCACGCTCCCTTAGGTCTATCTATTTTCACAGCCACAAGCAAGGTCTTTTACAAACATAAATTGCATGACTCCAGTGCTCAAAGCCTCCGATGACTTTCCATTCACTCACTATAAAATCCAAATGCCTCATATCATCCCCCGAGACGCTGCCTGATGCAGCTTCTGCCTGTTTCTTCAACTTCGTCTCCTGCCCCCCTGCCCCCTCTGCGTTCCAAGCCAGCAACATTGGTTTCCTTGCTGGTTCTCACACTCTCCCCAAGCTCAGACATCAGGCCTCTGCACCCGCTCTTCCCCGACCCTGGAATATACTCCTCAGGTATCTGTGGTGCACACACACTCTCTCTCCCTCTCTGTCAATTCGTGCAGGTCTGCAACTCCAGCATCACTTCATCAGGGAGATTTCCCCCCAACCAGCTAACCTAAAACAGCATGGCTTCTCCTGCTAGCCCTTTATCTTCTTAATTTCCTCTCAGCATTGCCCATGCTGTTCCCTTTGCCTAGAACATTCTTTCCTCTTCTCTTTAGAGTGGTTTAAATGTTATCTCCTCAGGGAGGTCCTTCTGGATCATTCTATATAAGTAGGTGTCCTTTAACCCTTTCCACTTCCACCAACACTTATTTTACATTTCTGTACAATGTTCACCTTCTTAGAAATTAACACCACTGTAAGTGTGTGTATGTGTTCTTTGTCTACTTCTTTCTTGTCTTCCTCCCATTCCCATACGATTGTACATTTTACAAAGGAAGGGACTCTGTCCACTTTACCAATCAACACCTCCCAAGTGCCTATTATAGTTCAGGGCCTTGTACACTGTAGCTGCTCCATAAATATTTACTGAAAGAATGGATAAATGATACAACATGAGGTCATTCACAGATCTAGGAAAGATGATTAAAGAGTCTCTCCATTGTTAGAGGCCATCGGTTGGCCACCCATAGCTCTCTGGCACTCATCATGTTTGTACACAATGATGACTTTCTAATGCAAGCATCCAAGATCTCCGCCTGAAGGCTTTCTTGGGCTGCAGGTGCAGGCTTGGTCTGCACGCAGTGCCAGGGAGTTCACACCTGCAGGAGCAGCTTTTGACCAATGGCCAACATGAGTTGGTGGATAATTACGCCAGCTTCAACACTTGCCTGACAGAATCTCTCTGAAGCACATTATCCATGATTTCCTAGAAGTCTCAGTCGCCCCATCTGTCCATGGTGGTACCTTGCCCACCAATCCACTGTTTACTAGCTTTCTTTCCTTCCCTGTCTTACTTCCCCATTCCTTACTGGTGCTTCCAGGGATCACCTGCCTGCCAAGAAAACTACAAATCCTTGTCTCAGGGTATGCTTCTGGGAGAACCAAAACTAATACATCCTTCTACCTGATTCCCCATCACCACTCTCCTTTTGGGGAAATGTTGCAACCTGAGTGTTCCAATCTAGCAGTTCTACAGGTTTGGCGGGGGAACAGTGGGATGGGAGTGAAGCAAATTAATTTTTCATTCACGGATTTTTTCATTTAACCCATTCCATGCCAGCAGCCATTGTACTACATTTTCTGTGGTCCCTGCAGACATTCCCTACAAATGATAGCTTCTCATTTCATTGCAGAAATCTCCAAATAGGGCTGTCCTTGTCTTTGGTCTACAGCTGTATTCTGGTGACAGTTCCTTGCACTAGATTTGATTAATAATACTATTAATAATATCAACAACAAGGATGATACAATTCAGTGAAGACTTGATGTGTGCCAGGCTCTGTTACACAAAGAACTTGTATGACCTAATTGAATGATCACAACTATTTCCCTCTTAACAATATTTCTTTCTTACAGTAAGGAAACCTACTCCCAGAAAGGTTATAACTTGCCCATCCACTAGGTGGCAGAGCTAGGATCTGAAGCCCGAGGTTTGGCTAGAGATACACCATTAACCCTTTGGCTACACCACCTTCACATCTCCCCAACTCTCTGCCCCATCGAACCACCAGGTCTTATCACACACAAAATTTATTTTAAGGTACAACGTTAAAATGAGATACTGCAGTTATAAAGTTTCTGAAATTTTAGCCAAAAAGAGTGAAACCCTTCGGTAATGAAAAACAATAAATGAACGCTTAAATGTAATTGCAAATACAGCACTTCCTGAACACAAGATATAAAAAATTGCAGCCTTTAACACTTTCATTTTCCCCAAATTGGGTCTTAAGGTAAAAAAGAAAAAAAAATTATCACCGCTGCTCTAGGGTACGGATCTTAGGGAAAAATGCCATCCCCTCTGACAGAGCTAGCATTTCTAGATAATGGGTGAAACTCCACAGTTTCCTGGCATCTACCACCACCTGGCCCCATGTTTCCAACAGGAGTGGGTGAATCACAGAGCAAGTGGCTAGAGTCATGAAGAGGAGAATGGTGCTTATGTAGCAGTGCCCAGCTGAGCAGCCCCAGCTCGCCCTTCCCTCCATACAGAAGACCCCTCATCGGATTCTGTTTCAGGGATCACAAGGATCTGACTCCAAGTCTCATTCTGCCATCCCGCTCATGCCAACCAACCTCGGGAGGATCATGCTAGTGCTGCTGAGCGTTCTCTGTTCTGTCACTTTGGGAGGCTTCCATTCTCTCATTAGTTTAATGAGAAAAGAAAAATACAGGCCCGATAATAATAAAGGGCAACCCAGAAAAGCAGTAAAAATAAGAGCTAAAAGCAAGTTAATAAATGTGAGACAGTTAAATATGCACACACCTTTTAATGCTTGCATATTGGGAGACAGAGGGTTGGGGATGCTTCCATTCTGGGTAAAATATAACATAATAAAGGGGTTATTTTGTTGTCCTGAGGGTAATTTTGTTAATTAACTAGGATGAGTATCTTTTTGAGCTCTCTATTTTTAATTATGCTTTCTTGATTATGAAAGTAAAAATAATATACTAAAAGAGAACTTATTGAATGCCAGGCCTCGTTTTAAGCATTTTGCGTATATGACTCATTTAATACAACATTACTATAAAATAGGTAACATTGTCTCTGTTTTACAGATAAAGAACAGAAATGGAAAGCAATTTTCTCACCATCACACAGCCAGTAAGTAGCAGACTGGGGATTCCAACCCAGGCACTCTGTCTCTAAAGTTGAAGATACACTATGTTGCCTCAGTGGATTAACACAGTGTAAAAAGTTTTAAAAGCTTATTGTAGAAAATCTGTAAAATGTGGACAAGTGTAAAAAGAATATTTGACTCATTCATAATCTCACCACCTAGAAATACATTAACATCCTGATGCAATGATCATGACATAATCTCTGTAAATATGATTTACTTTTTGTTGTTTGGCTATCCTATGAGAAAGGCTGTATGGTTAATCACCAAACTTGGAGAACATATTTGGGATGGACTGACTTAAAATATAGACTATGTCTTAAACAAAATGCATTTTGTGGGCCCCATGGTGTATCGCCAAAATCTGAGCAATCATCTATTTTCCGAAAATCTAAAACTGAGGTTGAAGTACACGCTACTTCCTGGTTGTCTCATCTCTTCCCCTCTGGCTTTTCTTGGTCCCCTCAGTCGCTCCTCTCCTTCTTCATTTCTTTTAAGCGTGGGCCTCCCCCACAGCTTAGCCCTATGCTCCCCTTCTTCCACTCTCTTGAAGACCTCTCTTTTTCCAGGACGTATTTTCCATTTCATGAAGATGATTCTTACACCTCCATTCAAGTTTCCCCTCTCTCTTCTCACACGGGGTTTAGCATAAAACTTCCTGAGAGAAGACACCTTACACTCTGCATGGTCAAATCCAAAGGTATACTCTCCGTGTCAAAATGGATTTCCTTATTGGCCTCTTTTTGCCATTTTTTACTTCTTCTTCCCTATTTAATCATTTGGAAATTCAATGTCTTCTAAAAACTTTCCAAAAACCACCTTTCTACCTTTATTTATTTTGAGGACGATTAGCCCTGAGCTAACTACTGCCAATCCTCCTCTTTTTGCTGAGGAAGACTGGCCCTGGGCTAACATCCATGCCCATCTTCCTCTACTCTATATGTGGGACGCCTACCAAAAATGGCTTTTGCCAAGCGGTGCCATGTCCGCACCCGGGATCTGAACTGGTAGACCCTGGGCCGCCAAAGTGGAACGTGCACACTTAACTGCTGCGCCACTGGGCCGGCCCCTCTAATTTTATTGATGACTTTTCTCATCAAAATTTTTTGCTCTACTCACCATGTTTCAAACAGCCTGAACACTGCTTTCTTCAGTTTTTATTCAAATTAGATATATGGAATTTATTGGTAGAATATATGAAATCCAAAAGTCTGGATTTGCTTTTCTACGTGATGTTGACCAAATTTCTCTCAGCTCAGTCTTCTTAATCAGAATAATAGTAACCCTCACAGAGTTGGTGTAATGATTACATAATATAAGATACATGAAAGTGGCTAGCACAGCGCTTGGCACATTATGGGCTTGCAGTAAGTATTTGCATATCTATTCATTCATTCCCCTCTGACCCTTCAGATGTAACCTTTGTCATGGAAACTTTTGTTCCCGTGGTGCCCAAACTCTCTGCTCTGACCTCCTCTATCTTTCGTCTGACATGCCTCATGTATAAATGCAAGGTGTTACTTGGCATTCTTCGAGTAGGGTTTCTCCAAATATATTAACTTCCTTAAAATAAGAAACCGTACTTCACACTTCTGTGTATAAAGTGCTAAAATATTGAATTTGGAAGCCTCCCCCCACCACAAATGATCAAGTAAGTTTTTACCAGATTATCACATAATAGTAGATGAGAAAACAGCTAAATATTACTTGTTCATTTTAATCACAAATCAAAAGGAAGGTCAGGTGACAAATGTTCTATTTCTATAATAAAATGATATATTGCTGAATGCAAATTCCTTCTGATATAAATATGAATCAAAAATACATACATGTGGTGACATAAAGGAGTTACACACTTTGGCATATTTATCAGAAGCAGCACATGAATATTTTGTAAATTATCTAGCATTTTCTAAATTGACATTATCCTACATCTGATACTCTGATAAAAGAGTTTAGTAGCTTTCTTTGATCTGTCATTGACAGACAATTGTTTTTGTTCGAAGGACTTGGCATTAGAGTTTATTGTCTTCCTTGTGTTTGAGATAAACTGAATAGTTAGAAGCTGATGAATGCACTTATTTTATCTCTAAGATTATGATCAAATCATTGGCATTGGGTTATGAAGTTTTAGGAGAAAGTAACTTTTTAACGATTTACATCACCAACATCTTGCTTACCCAACTTCTTCTAAAATAAATGACTTTAAAATAATCTGTATAAATTCTAGACGTGGTTTCTTACTAGCGAAATCCTTCCCAAAAAGATAAATGCACAACATTTTAAAGTATCCAAATGGACAACTGAAATTGCAACTCTAGTAAAATGGAGCCTCTTTGAGTGGTATGTCTTCCTAGATGGATGTTAATGGGACAAAAGTGCAAGACATCCTGTGAGATGAGTAGGCTAACCACGATTCCTTAACAGCAGATAGCATGTTGTACACATGTGGTAAGCAGACTGGCATGAGCTTTCTTGCTTTTTCTAGAACAGTGGTTTTTAAATTGCTTCTAGGAGACCTAGGGTTCTGAGGAGATATTATGGGGGCTGTAGCGCGGTGGGTGGGTGATGTGCGTGGTAGGGAGAGGGCTGAGGAGGACCAGCTGGATGCTTCAGGCTCCTTTCCTCCCCTGCTTCAACTTTCTCAATGACTCATGTCTATTTTATATACAGAACTTCTGAGCCAGGTACTGTTTGGAAGAAAAGTTCTGCTACTGAAAAAACAGTGGTTGACCATCTTTGTTTCAGAACCCAAGTAAAAATCTTTCTATGAGCAGGCCATTACACTTAGACATGGCAACAAACATTTTTATCCAGTTTTCTCAGTTGTCTTTCACTGGGGCAGGAATATGTCTTGGGAAGAAAATGAAGAAGCCCAAGGCTAGAAACTGCTTGCTTGATGGGTCTTTTCAAATTGTACACTTAGCCGAGGATTACATAAAATTAAATATTACTCTACTCACCATCCTCATTCCAACCCAAACAGGTCTCTTGATTTCTCTCTTCCAGTTTGAGAAACAGACCGAGAGGCCTGCACTCAATGTTTAGTGACCTGTTGCTCTTCAAATCTTAAGAAATTGACTTTCAAGTCATCTGCTCCTACCACATCTCTTGGTGGGAAATCATTATAGAAGGTAATATAGGCCATACAATTTCATGATTAATGTTACTAAGCATCCCATCCCTGCTGCGCAACCATTGCCAGTTCTTATCTCCTATCCTAGGTCCCAGCCATTGGTAATTCATATCTCCTATCTTAGATCCCAGCCATTGCCAATTCTTATCTCCTATCCTAGATTGCACGTGTTGATCAACGAGCACACATTGGCTTGGCCATTCTCCATTAAAGCCAAGGAGTTCATTCAGAACTTTCAGAAGAAGGGAGGCGCCCAGGACCCCCACCCCCATTTCCACCAGCACAGGAAGCTCTTATTACAAAATCACCAGGATTCTATGCTTACTATTTCTGAACTTTGGACTCTCTTATTAGTTAGGAGAGTATCTACTTGGGCAGAGGTGTTTGCAACTGAAAAACTGCTCAGTACATTGGGATAAAAGCCACTTCCCTGTGATTCATTGACTGTGAACTGAGGCACTTTTGTTTTGGACTAGGAAAATTTCCGTAAGTCAATATATTAAGGTTGTATTCCATGACATACAAATCCTCTGAGATGCTCAGTGAGAAAGATCACCTGTGGTCAAACATGTTTGGGAAACATTGTGTTTCTCTTGGTGATTCAAACTGCACATTAGAAGGGCAAAGTGCTTAGAAGTATTTTTTAAACTTATTTGATCATGTAATTTTTAAATTGGCCTTCCTCTTTCTTTTCTTTTTAGAAATATTAAATATCTAGGGCTCCATGGGAAAGAGTTTGGAAAATACTGTACTTGCCAATTTAAGTAAAATTTTTAGGGGTCAGTTTCTACTTTTCTCTGTACTTCCAGAGCCAGCACCATGTCTGGCACAAGGTGATTACTCAATAAATGTTTGTTAAATTGAAGTGAACAAGAAACTATGTTAATAAGATGCCAAACATTATGCTGAAAGTTCTTTTCAAAAATCACACCAGTTATGGGGCTGGCCCCATGGCGTGGTTAAGTTTGGCATTCTCTGCTTCAGTGGCCTGGGTTTGCGGGTTTGGATCCCAGGCACAGACCTACGCCACTTGTCAGCCATGCTGTGGTGGTGACCCACATACAAAATAGAGGAAGACTGGCACAGATGTTAGCTAAGTGTAAATCTTCCTCAAGCAAGAAGAGGAAGATTGGCAACAGATGTTAGCTCAGGACCAATCTTCCTCACCAAAACAAAACAAAACAAAACAAAAAACTAAAACACCAGTTATTTGTGCCAAGTATTTGGCAGTTTTACAGAAATAAATTATTTTAAAATTAAATTCAATTAATCTGCTTTGGGTATAAGGATCAGAATCACAAGATGTCTGATTTGGGATAAACCCTGGTAGGTGACTAGTCATCGTTTTATAGACAGGGCACAGACAAAGATAAGGCATTATCTTTCAGACTGAACTCATAAAGAGACTGAAAGAATTATCTCAAGTAATTTAAGCATAGTAATAGAAATGTGAGCTCTGGCCTCAACCTAGGAGGGCTCAAATCCTGACTTACTGGCCGAGGGAATGTGGGCAAACATATCTGTGCCTCAGTTTCCCCATTTGTAAGTGGCGATGGCAATTGTCCTCCCCTCTAAGGGTCATTGTGATGACTAAATGAGATGAAACAAGTAAACAGCCAAGTACAGTACTTGGCAGATGGAAACAATATTAGATATTAACACTTAATTGATAACACATTATCAGCCAAGATTTCATAGTCAGTATGAAATTAGAGGTGATACTAATTCTGGAGAGAATTTGGGAGACCTGAAGATTGGAAATAGGGATGGGGAGGAAGACATTGTATAACTGAGGTCTCTGTATTGATAGCCCCCAATCCTGGGCCATTTGTAGCATTTTTTGGAGGAAAGTCAATTCTAGTTTGAAGGTACAACTCACAAATCCTCCCAGGGTGGAGAGGTAGGTGGGTATTTTCCTTGTTCAGGTATTTTGCAGGCTCAAGTAGAATCCTTTCTGTTTACCCAGGAGTCCCTAGGAGACTGCATTATTTTTTGAGGAACCACATCAAAAAGACAGTGTCCTCTCTGTGAGGCCAGCGAGCAGGAAGCACCACTCCCTACCTGAACGGGTAGGCGAACGCTATGTCAATGCTGAGGTTACTTTCGGTCTTGTTGACGCAGTCCACACTCAGCCGCAGGGCTCCAGAATAGCCACCGCATGTTGCAAATGCAAAGATTGCAAAAAGCTGTGGAGAACAAAGAAACAAAAGAGAAGGCGGCTATTAGAACGATGCTGATCTAATGAGATATGTCAATAGGAGTTCAGTGTCTGGATTGAGAAAGGTTATGGTTCTTCTGAAATGCGACACCATATTTGGTTCAGGCTGGAAGACGGAGGTCTGGATGATAGTAAGAACTGGGGAGGTGGTGTCTGGCAAGCTGGAGTAATTACGCTTGGACAAAAATTAAACACAAGGAGAAAATGTCTGTGTTTGAGTGTGTAAAGAGCTGTCATGCCTCAGAAGGTACAGATGTAATCCCACATCATGGCGTCTGGAAAGCTACGCACCAAGGGATTAATGAAGGATGTCTCCTGGTGGAAAGAATTTGGGGAGTCTCTTTGCTTTCTTCATTTTGTTTATCTATATTTTCTGCAATGCTTAGCCCTGGGGGTCTAGTAGTTAAGATTCAGTGCTCTCACCACCGTGGCCCAGGTTCATTTCCCAGTCAGGGAACCATACTACCCGCTGTTGCTTGTCATACTATGGTGGCTGCATATTGCTGTGATGCTGAAAGCTATGCCACCAGTATTTCAAATACCAGTAGGGTCACCCCTGGTGGACAGGTTTCAGCAGAGCTTCCAGACTAAGACAAACTAGGAAGAAGGACCTGGCCACCCACTTCCAAAAAGATTGGCTATGAAAACCGTATGAATAGTAGTGGAGCGTTGTCTGATACACCGCTGGAAGGTGAGAGGGTGGCGTAAAAAGACCGGGCAGGGTTCCGCTCTGCTGTACATATGGCTGCTATTACAACAAATTTTCTGCAATAACCATGTTCTATCTTTTGGAAAATTATAGATTTTTAAAAAGGCATAGTCAGAGAATTTTAGAGCTTAAGTGTTGAGGAAAAGTAGGTGAGTATCTGAGAGATGCTATTTCACAGCAGAAAATCTCAGTATCTGTTAGCCTCAAACCCCCTTGATGGTTACATCTCTGTGTCAGTTGCTCTTTCTAAGTCAACTATTAAAAGCTTCCACTGGTTACCAGTTAATGCCATAGTCTATTCTGGTGTAGAACATGGATCTGTGGGAATTAGATACTGAAAGCTAGGAGCAGGAATTCAGAGAAGTCTTCAAGAAAGAATATACATCTGGGAGGGTGGGGATGGCCTCAGATGGGAAGTAAGCAACTGCCAGACTTTGGCCAGTCAGTTCGGCTAAATTCAGAAGACTTCCCTCTTCATTTCCCAAGAAAGTCAATCAAGTGCATTTAACACTAATCCATGCTGTAATACTCCCATTTATTTTGTTTTAATTCTGGAATTCAGCTTCTTGCAGTAGCTTGGGGCCCCTGTTAGGAACACTAGCTCACTTTGCCCAATGAGAGGAGTTGCTGTGTAAGGGTTGCGTGCATGGGCTCTGGAATGTAACCGTGGGAAGGATGCTGAATTTCCCCATGCCTTTGTTTCCTCAATAGTAAAATAGCATTGATATGAACTCCTCCGGGTCATTTTGTTATTCATGATACGAGGTAGACAGTTGCTGTGGACAAGAAGGCTGCTGGAGCTGGCAATGTCACCGAATCCATTCAGAAAGTTCAGAAGGTGAAATGAATGTTATCCATAACACCTGCCACCTCACTCTCGTGGTGGAAGAAAAGCCTACAACTGTTTGTCTCAATTGGCTATTTAACTTTAATAGGAAAAGACTGGTTAATGATAAAACCTTCACAGGGAAAGCAATATTTTTTTGGACCATTTGTGTGTATGTAGGTTTTGTTATTCATTTTTAAAATTAGTATTTTAGAAACAGAAACAACTTGACCAAAAGATATAGTAGATGTAATAAGAGCAAAATGTGTTTATATGTGTTAACGTGTGTAAAACATTTAGGATAGATCCTGGCACAGAACAAGCGCTTGATAAATGTTAATGAATATTATTACTGTAAATAGATGTGGATGAGATCTTTGGTAAGATGTTCCAGGCCATAAAATAGGAAATTTAGACTCACTCCCTAGCTAAATCTATACGAACATCAGCCCGAGGGAACCAACATAAGAGCACGCCAGAAAAACTCGTCTTTTTTGCTTTGCTTGCTTTTCTTCCTAGTTTGCTTCACCGCTGGGACTTGAGGAGGCATCAGAAGCTACTCTAACTCACTCCGCAATCTGGGGATGATGCACAGAGAATGCCAGCGCCGAAGGGAACCTGCTCTTTACCCCTGTGGTGTGGATTTGGTCACTATGCATGACCAAATGCTCACTTTCTGTCAGCTCCTAGTATTGGCAGGAAGAAGGAGGAAGTGATTTTAATTGTTCAATGCTTAAATCTAGGTTTCATCATATAACACTGGATGTCTTGGCCCTTTGTGCCATGTCATGATAGTGCCTTTGTTAAGATTTCTTCCAGAAGAAAGAATGGAGTAATGGATCCCAAAGCCTGTGCTATGGCTGTGGATAGCCCTCCCCCATCCAAGCTTCCTCATCTGTAAAATGGGGATATCCTCTGTATCTTCCAGAATCACTGAGGGAATTAAATGAGATGGAGTATGTATTTATGTGCAGCCCCACCCCCCAATTCACCCAGAGATTTGTGTGGTATTTACACATGTGCACTTCTCTGGGGCAAGCGCCCCTGTACACGTGAAGGTAAGGAATAATTGTCCATTGTAGCCATTATTAAGTACCCACTGTGGGCCAGGTATTGTGCCCAGCACTTACCATATGCAATCATATTTCCTCTTGACAACAGTGTTGTGTGCGTGTGTGCATGTGTATATATGTGTGTGTATGAAGCTTAATACTCCTATATTAAAAATGTAGGAGAGTAGCATAAGGACTTCAAACAGTTGCATTTTTAAAAATTCCTTGAAACATTAAAATTATTAAGTTTGAGTTGAAGGACATAAAGACAAATCTTGTTAATTTTGGCACTTAATGGCTATAAAGAAACTACTCTTGGCTTTAAAGTGCTTTAAATACAGCAAAGTATTATTAAAACTACCATGAAGTGAACTTAACATGGAATGATAATTATGTATTTAACTAGTTCAAAATGTTACATGCATGGAAAGAAGGCATCAGACTATCGAAACCACACACACTACTAATTTTTCTTTTAACTTCTATGGAGCTCTGAAAACATGAGACATTGTGTTCGAGTTAAATATGATATCTATAGGCTGTCTGGTTAAGTTTCTCCCTTCCCCATCCATAGACCTCACTGATTAAAGGGAAATCATACTGTGTGACCGATATCAAATTCACATGGGTTTGATGAGGATTAAACAGATAATGTCTGTATAACACTGGAAGAGTCAGATCCTGCTGAGTGAATAACGTATTACAGGGCTGGTTGATTTCATGTTTGGGAGACTGAAATCAACTTCTTCAGAGTCTAATAGCCAGCGTCCTGGCCCTGTAATTAGAATACATCAAGACCTAGCGGAGAGAGGGGACTGAAAGCTCTTTTGGGCGTCAAAGTTCTCTTGGTGTTGCAGAGAAATGTAGAATGGGAGGGAACTTTGGAAATCCTCCCACTCATTCCCCTCCCATTAGCCCGCCCAGCCACTCTGCCCTAGGTAGCAGAGTGCAGCAGTTCTGGAGTCAGGCAGACCTGAGCTTGAGTCCTATTTCTAGCTGTCTGACCCTGAGCAAGTTATTTAACATCTCCAAAGCTCAGTTCCTACATCTATTAAATCAGGACTAATTCACTGGTTTATTCAGCAGATGTTTAATGGTATACTTACCATGTGCCAGCTGGTGGGAAACAGAAAGACAAAAAAGTCAGAGAAAAGACAAAGAGAAAGAAGGTCCCTGCCCACTCTGGAGCTTAATGCCAGATGGAGGAGACAGAACTGAAAAGAAATAATTACAAACTGTAAGTGTTTCAATGGGAACCTATTCTACACAGGGAGTTATATCTGACGATGTCATATTTAAGCTAAGACCTTGAGGATGAAAGAGAGGAAGCCACACAACAGGGGGTGGGGTTGGGAGAAGTGCTCTGAGGGAACAGCTTAAATGAAAGCCCCAAGGGAAGGAATGCTTGACAAGTTCAAGGAACCAGTGGAGGGTCAATGTGGCAGCTGGATGGTGAAAGAGGTTGAGGATAATGATATTTCCCTTACATGATTTTGTGTCCATTACCTGAAAGGATACATGTAAAGCATCAGGCTCACAGCCCTCAATAAACGTCAGCCCTTCTTCTCCCTCTCCTGCTGCTACTACTACACTATTACCACTACACTATGGAAGCAACTGGGCACTAGAGAGGAAAATTCACTGGCCCCAACTCAGCTGGAGCAGAATCGGAAATAGAATCCTTGTCTCTAGACTTCCTGCATCAGCATTCTTCTAATTAGCTCGAGAGCAACAAGAGGAACAATCTCCGGCCACCTGGTAGAAGGAGTTGACTGTCAAATGGTCCAGTCTTCTTGCTCAGAAATGCAGCATGGTGCTTTAGTGTCCTGAAGTTCTCCACGTTTCCCCTGAGTGTCTCACAAACATACCTGCAAGCTCACCAGCCAAACAGGATGAGTGCTTCATCCTCTCTTTCTCCTCCCTCTCCTTCCTTCTCTCCCTCCCTTCCTTCCTTCCTCCCTCACTGCTTTCCTTCCCTCTTCTCTTCCTCTGTTCCTCCCACCTGCCTCCCTCCCTCCCCATCTCCCTTCCTCCCTACCTTCCTTCCTTCCTTCCTTCCTTCCAGTTTTCACTCTTGATGGGTGGAAGATTTTAGAAGGAGGATCTTGGGAGATGTTTTAAAGAGACAGAAAATTCCTTAGATTGACAACTGTTACTCTGAGAGGCCATTAACACCAGTAAGAAGAAGGTTTGTGTGTTTTGTAGATGTTTGGCTCTGCAAGACTAATGCTAATTCCTAAGACAGACAATATCCCCTTCTGGAAGATGGAAAAGATGGGAAAACTATGTTATGCAGCCAAGATGGAATGAGAACTGGAGGTGAGTCCTGGAAGTCTAAGGAGGGAAAAGAGCCCAAGGAGAATCTTGACTGGATGTGTGGGGTGTAGAAAGATGAGAGAGAGGGACTCGAGAGAAAAACCTCCATCTGAGGCTGACTCTGTAATGACTACAAGCAACTTGATGACAGATGTAAAGGGATGGCATTTGTGTGTGTGCACATGCACTTATGTGTTATTTTCTCCAAACTTTGGGCTCCATGTGTTGATCCTCAACCAACACTGCCTTCTTTCTGGTAATAGAGTCTACTTGCTCACCTTTATAGACATTGAGGGCACAACCCAGGGGCAAAAGTCCATTTACCCAATCAAGTGAAATTATACAACCCCTGTGTTCCCATCTTTCCTCAAGCTCCCAATTCTCCTGAAATGTGAGAATTTGAGCACGTCCTTCCAGCATGTCCTAAGATAATATCATAACCATTGGCCCAATCATTCACTTCTCTTGAGTTCAGGAGACTGAAATAAGTCTCCTGCAATGAACTCTCATTTCACTACTGTCTTGGATAATCTACGGCTCCATTCCTAACAACAAAAATTTACTCTCTAAATGGACAAAATTAGCCAGCAGAGATTTCCTTTGTATGCAGCGCGATTAGAAATATATTCAGGTGAAAGAACAGAGGCATTGCCTTGCATTTTCTGGCTTAATAAACATCCATAAATCCAAATCCCCCAAAATGGGAATATCTTTGCACAGTTAATGACACCAAAGGTATTCCCCTGAAAAGAGGGCAAGCAGCTCCCTCCTTGGAACTAAGTGAACCACACAAGGAATATTAATGAAAGCTGCCACTAATCCTTCTGGTTAATTTGCAAGGCAGAGTTGAAAGCAACAGGCTGGAGGAGGACAGGAAATCAGGCTGATTAATGGCTGTCGTAGGTCTCTGTGCTCTGCAGTGAAGTCAGGGTGGGGACATCTCCCAAGGCCTGGTACACAACCCAGGCATGAAGGATGCCTTGAAATAGATAAGGAAGAGTAAGGAGGCTGGTAAGAAAGGGATTGGGAGATTGGGACCAAGTATTGGTTCTCACATTACTACCATGCCGTGTGTGCTGACAATCAGATCTCCAGAACATAGAGCTTTGATTACCACATTTGCCAATTTCCACAGTGTAAATGCTCCCACCGGGGCCAATTCCAAGCTACCAACATGATAACTCTGAACCTTGACTGGGAAGACAGCTGCACAACCAGCTGTGCTCCAGCATAGCACTGCCGCCAGGGGACTGTCCCTGACTCTGCCCCTGGGGCAAGAACCTTCAGCTTGTTACATTGCTTCACTCCTCTTCCATCAGGTACAGCTATTCATTCTTTTCATTCATTTATCCACTTACTCACTTAGTTAGTTATTGCAGCAGAGGCTGTTGATACTCTGCCTAGATCCCCTTAGCCCGCCCTAGAGGCCACCTGCAGCTTCAGGGGGACAGTCTTCATACACACCAAAGGCTTCCTCCTCAGACACCCGAGTCTCTCTGCTGAGGGCTTTCTCAGGCAGCAAGACGAGCTCAGACTGTGAGTGGGGCATGGTGGAAGTCCCCAGGAGTTAATTCCCCAGCAGGTTCCAACCAGTGTGGGATGGAAATTGGTGGATAAAACCCCAGTGTCCCTGCCCCTCCGTGGGGAAATTTTGAGGCATGTTCAGTACAGTTTTTCAGAGGATGCCCACTGGGACTGAGCCCCAGTTGCTCACAGCAACATCTGCTCATTAACACACCCTTGGCTGGCTTTCTTCCTCTCTGTGTCAAATTTCCCCAAGCATCATTGTGCTTCCTAGAGTCACCACCCAAATAAACTTCTTGAGCCTCAATTCTTGTCTCAGGATCTGCTTTTGGGAAATGCAGCTGAGACAGCTTTCAAACACTGACTGAGCACCTGTCACTTCTCAGGCACCGCCATGGGCCCTGGGATTACATTAACAAAGGGAATCGTACCTCCCAGCGCACCTCGTCTCCCATCGTCTCTTAGCTTCTGACTTACCACACTCTCATCTCTCCAGCCCTCTCTGAATAAGCTGAGCAACGTCGTAAACAGGAAGTCTTCTTTGACTACACTATCTAGAGGAGGACTCCTGACCCGGGCCCACCTCCACCCTGGACCCCTCATTTCCTGGGTTTTATTTTACATGAGCAGATGTTTTAAAATCTGTATTCGTTAGGCATTATTTATTCACCCGTTTGTGTTTTGTTTGACCACTTTCCTGAGGAAAGGTAATACCCTTGTCTTTGTTTATTGCTGAATCTGCCACCTTGCACAGTGATTGGCATGAAGGAGGTCCTCCCTAAATACTTGTTGACTAAATAAGTAAACATATTCCCCTCCCCCACCGCCAAGAAACTTGCTGTCTATTGAGGGATGCAGACAAGTGCACGAACAGGCACTGTGACAGCATTTTACTGTCGTGGCAATAACTGAAGCATGTTAGAGGAAAATACAGAGCATACTTGTAGAGGAGTGGAGACGACATGAGGAATCGCTGTCTGGAGGAATGGACAGCTAAGCAGAAACCAGGAAAGCACGACAGGTTTATCCAGGTAAGAGGATGAAGAAGAATGTTCTAGGCAGAGAGAGCAGCAAGTCAAAGACATGTGAGCAAGTGAGGCACATTTGGGCTGTACAGCTGGTACGACTGGAATGGACATTGTAAAGTGGGTAGAAGGGAGTGACTCCGTTCAAGAGGCAGGCAGGGATGTGTCAGGTATGGTCCAGCAGGGATCAGAAACCACGGCCCTGGGCCATGTCCTGCCGCACCTATTCATTTATGAATGGTCTATGGCTGCTTTTGCACTACAACAGTAGAGTTGAGTACTGACAACAGAGACTGCATAGTCTATTGGGCCCTTACAGAAATAGTTTGTCAATGTGAAGAAACCTGGGTTTTACGAGGGGATTGGATTTTCAGCATGGGAGGGGCATGACAAATTTGCATTTCAGAAAGGCCACACTGGTTGCAGTGGACAGTGGGATTGAAAGGGGGTGGGACTAGATGCTGGAAGATGCACAAGAGTCTTGCTTCCCCGGACAGTCTGCAAACCCTTTGCCAACAGGAGCATGCCTCAGTCATCTTTGTATCCACATTGTGTCAAAACATCATAGGTGACTCATAAATTTTATCAAGTAAACAAATATATGAATGATTGGGAAGGAGAAGATGAGAGGATGAAGTGTTTGCAAAAGGGTATGTTGGCACTTAAGAAGAGAACAATAAACACTGTGATGATGATGATGATAACCATGATGATGACGATGATAGTAATAATAAAACAACCACAGTTGGTTCTCTGTGCCAGTCTCTTCAGTAAGTGCCTTACTTACATGAGCTCATTTAATCCTCTCAACAACTCCTGAAGTAAAAACATAACCCCTCCTTTTACAGATGAGGAAACTGAGGTTAAACAGCACATCGAGGCCACACAGGTTATTGGTACGTGAAGTAGTCATGGTTTGAACTCGGATCTGCCTTTCTCTAAAGTTTATCGTCCTCTTCTCACCTCTCCCAGGGCTGTGAAGGGGTCTCTCTAACTGGAGCACGCCATGGAAAGACTAATGCAGGAATATAAATTATGGGCTTGCTAAGGCTTTGTCTGTCTCATCAATGCTCAGAAAGCCGAGTGAGGACTAAGTGAGGATCTGTAAGATAAAACCCTGATCATCCAAATGGATGGCAATGATAGCTCGTGTATTTCGCCTCAGCATCACAAGCCTTTACTCTACAGCAGCACAGCCCATGGGGGAAAGAAAGTTCAGAGTCTGGCATGATAAGCACACTGGAAAAGCCTGATCCGAGTAGGTTATGCCAATTACACTTGACAAGTCCCTCCTCCTGTCAGCCCCCCACTGACGGGTGGTGGGTTTCTCACTTCCGTAGGTCTCCGTCATTCAACACTTTATAGGATAAAGAGGCCCAATCCCCTCCCCCAACTCCTCTGATGAACCCCTCTTGTCCCTTCTTTTATGATCTGTCTTGGGCTGATGGGCCATTTGCTCCCAATATCCCCAAAGAGCATTTCTGGAAACGCAGTTGTTTATGGGAGCTGATTACCTCAACAGTAGTCCTAGAAAAGCAAGGAAGACACACTGTGAGGATATTTTCTGGTGCAGAAAGAGTGTTTGATTAACTGTGGCTGCCCTCATATCCCACTCGCTACCTGGGAAGCCCCGAGCTGATTGATGAACCCCTCTAAAACTCAGTGTTCCATTTCTACTCATCTTTGTCTAATTCGTCTTTCTTTTAGTGTTTCTACTGCTGCTGTAATTGGATTTTTCCAAGGAAATTGACCCAGCACCTTCTCAGCCATCAGTTTACGATTACTGCAACACTCTGACCCAAAAGGCTTTTGTGAACAACCTTGTAAAACCTTGGTTGGAACCTTCATATGAAGATAAAAATTGCAAGTTGTCCCTAGAAGGCAATATAATTGTATCTTATTTGGAGGCAATGAAAACCATTGTCAAAAAGCTTTCCCTCACAGAGCTATATGTTTTTTCCCTGTCATTGTATATAACTATCTGGGTTCTTAACTAGCTCCAATATCTTCCACGCTGCATTCCATTTCACGCTACCTGTCAAAAAGAGGATACTGCACCCTTCTAGCCGCCTCATGATTTGTGTGAAATCTTCCCAGGCAAAAACAGCCTTATTGAATTGGTACTTCACACCATCACCTGAGGAATTCTGACCAGGCCCGGAGGAAGTAGAACTCCAAATTACTCACAAAGCAAAAGAATTTTCTGTTTTCATTTTCTTAAACCTGCAGCCTGGAGCCTGGATCAGTTAGTAAAGTATTTGGGCACAGGTAACAGAAAGTTGATGTATAGAGCATTAAACAAATAGCGGTTGCTTTTCATACATATTGAGAGGTCCAGAACTAGGGGGTTGCTGGTATTGATAATGTCGGGACCAACATCTCTTTGGTTCTTTTAGTCTTTGCCTCGTAGTCACAAAATGGCTGCTGTGTCCATGGGCATCCTTAGATGCATGGGATACTGAGAAGTAAATATTCAGCTTTCCTGAGCTGTTAGGGGAGGCAGGCAAGGGAACGCAGGGTGGGAATGGTTGTTGAGTCCATCAGTCTCCAATGTCAGCCACAGGAACTTATGGGAGAAAGGCACAGAAGTAAAACAAGCATTCATGGCTTTTTATAAAGGCAAGGCAGCATAGTTAAGCCCATTCAGCATCTGGTCATTTCCTTTTCCCTGGACACTGCCTAGAAAGTTCTGTGCCTTATTTGCTAAATTGAACACTTGCCCAAGAATTTAAGTGTAGATTTCTGCTTGAATTTTATTTTCTAACGTAAAGCTTGCCACAAACCTTTAAAGTCAAATGCATGATTGAAATAGTAAAACTAAATTGGAAACAATCTTTACATCTAATAAAAAAGATCAAGTAAATTTGGAGGTATTCAATCAATGGACTATTATTCAATAGTTAAAAACATGAATAGCAGTATAGAAAGTTACATGGAATCTTTTGTAAAGCGAATTGCCAAGTATAACGTGCATGCATTGCATTTTTGTAAAAGGAAATTTTTATACAAATATACATTTTTAATGGACTTGTAAAGGTCTAGAGAGGTAGCACTGGAGTGTTATCAGTTGTTACCATTTAAGAGTGGACTTTGGAGACAGAATCTCAGTTTGAATTATTTTTGCACTGTTTCAATTTTTTCCAATAAGCACATGTAACTTTTGTAACTAAAAAGAGATTTTATTAAAATTGCCAATTTATATCACCCCTGGGTAACTTGAGCAAAATCAATTCAGGCCTGTCATTAGACGGCTGTGCTGTTTTAAACTTTCATTTGGATGAAAAAATGTAAAATCAAAGGAAGCCCACTGCCTTCGAGAATTCTCTCCCACAATACCTTCAAATTATTTACGTTTAAAGAGAAAGTAAACGGAATAGCATTTTTGACCTGCTTACTCACTGAAATACTTTTGCAAAGTCACTCTTTAGAATCACTGTAAACGTATTTCAAAATATGCCACGGGAACATACAGCTCAAATAGAGTGTCAATCATTAGCTGAGTCAAAAGTGCAATTTATCTTTCATCAGATTCACTGAGGGTCATTCTTTTTAAAGGATTCAAATCCAGTTCTCTCATATCTGTCACAATGGAACAACAAGAAAAAAATAAAAATTCAACGGAGCTTCTTACCTAGAACTGACACCATTTCTCTGACGCCTGATTAGACAGTCTTGTGAATTAATTTCTTGCCTATTATAGTGTTTTTGAGCTTGACAATTTTCCAGGGTAAATTTGTGATATGGACTTCCTGAATTTTCTTGCCTGCCATACCCATGTCTTAGAGCATTGAAGAAAATCCTTGATTATAGATATCTTAACTGCATACCTCCGCTTGATAGGAAAATTAGAGCAAGATAAGCTCAAGGAACATAAGCACGGTTCTGTGGTTCAATAATAGGTATCAAAAATGCTGGCAAGAACTATTCCTTGCCAAAAGCCATGCTTTTATGATAATGTAGAATGAACAGAGTTTTTTTTTAAATTGAAAGTAAGTCACAACCCTTAAATCCCATTTTTTTAAAAGTATTTTTAAATTTTTTAAAAAGTATTTTAAAAATATTTTTTAAAAAAGCATTTTTTTAAGAGCAGGCCTTGGATACCATGTCCAGTGTTCTCTGAATAGAAAATGAAAGTCAAGTTGGGATTCTATTCTGGTCGAATTCACTGAATTTGACATGTCTTCTTTAAAATTTAAACATTTCATGAACTAGAGTTGTACTTTTACCCAAAAAGCAAATTAGAATAACATAGGATTATTTTGGAAAAAAATATTGATCCATAAGCAATTGGCCACATTCAATTCATTCTTTTCACTAGACTGCATGGCTAATTAAACAGAGAAGTTTATCTCATTCTTTTTCCTTTAAAAAAAATTTTTTTTTGTTTTGAATTCAGCTTCACCTTAATGAAAGACAAGCACAGGGTCCCATGAGAAGAGTAGGAGTTGATCTTTTTGGGTTCTGCATTTTTTGTGCTTTGCAGCTGTATTAAATAAAATCCAGGGCTTACCAACTATAAGCCACGAGTACAAACAGGCATCCTATTTAAGCTCATGGTCTAAGAGGTAGCAACCCAGAATTAGGCATAGAACCATTTATTGCCAATTTTGAAACATGCAAATCACTGTGTATCGAGATTTGAGGACCTTTCTACACTCTGCTTCCACTGAACACCTCACTGGGAAGTTGCATCTCTATACTGTTCATAATGCAAGATATTCATGTAGTTGTTGTGATGAGATTCTTGACTTGGGAATCAATGTCTGAACCTCCCAACCATAATGCATGGTCATCGAATCACCACTCTAAGAACAGGGAACTTACTACCATGTATTATTTTGATGATGTAATAGAAAAGAAGAAACCTGAAATAGGCAGTTAAAAGGTAGCATATCATTCATTTGAAAAATACCAACATACTAGAGTAGAAGTTCTAGAAGAATAGTTTGAAATATATTGTAAAGTAATATTTGATGATTATGAGTCTAATCATAATAACACAACTGCTACTGCTGCTTAGGGAGTTTCTGTCCAGCGATGGACTAGGGGCTTTACAGAAATTGTCTCATTGAAACCTCGTGACATCTGTGACATAGGTACCATCACCGTGTCCATCTTGGAGCTAGATGACCCATGCCTTACAGGAGTTCTGTGACTCATCCAAGGCTACACAGATAGAGACTGATAGTTTGAACCCATAAGATCATCACTACACTAAAAGGAACAACTAAACATGAAGATCTAATGGGTCACTGTTAGAGGATGCTAGAGAACAAACTCATTATTTTAAAAACTAGTAAATAAAAGGAAAGCATCAATCTTTCATCTTGCCATTTCTTCAAGAGTGCTACTAGGAAGTGACCAAACAGTAGAGGAGAGGAAGTTTCCCTTTATAGAACTATCCACCTAATAATGAAGAAAGAACGATAGAGTAAGAGTATCAGCATTTTGCAACCTGTTATGGACTGAATAGTTGTGCTCCCCCCGCCCCGGCCATTCCTGTGTTGAAGCCCTAACCCCCCAGTGTGGTTATTTTTGGAGATACCACCTCTAAGGAAGAAATTAAGGTTAAATGAGGTCATAAGGGTTGGACCCTGATCCCATAGGATTAGTGTTCTTATAAGAAGAAACATCAGAGCTTGCTTGCTCTGTATGTCTCTCTCTCCACGTGCACTCACCAAGAAAAGGCCATGTGAGCACACAGCAATGAGGCAGCCACCTACAAGCCAAGAGAAGAGGCCGCAGAATGAAATCTACCTTGCCAGCACCTTGATCTTGGACTTCTCAGCCTCCAGAACTGTGATAAATAAATTTCTGTTTAAGGCCCCCAGTCGGTGGTACGTTGTTATGGCCCCCTGATCTAAGATACAATCCTTAATGAATTGATAAATCTAAGCATTGATGACTTATAAAAAAGGGAGATAATCCGATATTATGTGCCTCTAATGGAAGAAGACCTTACCAATTTTGAAGTATTCTGGGAAAAAAAAAAAATCAAACCCTGAATTTGATCAAGCCTCTATGCCCAACGGCCAATTCACAAAAAATACAGGAGAGAGAGACACACGTAAAATTACACCACATGGATAACATCAGCAAAACTCAGACCCTGAGAAACTCTCCAGGTGGAAACACCTTGCTTTTTCAAGAACAACAACAAATTACAAAAATGTAGGTACCAAAATACTCCAAACAAACAAAAATAGACAAGGGGAGACTGTGAGAGAGGAGCTTCTAGATTAAAACATTTTAACAGATATATTAATCCAAGGATGGATTCTTTTTATCCAGATTTCAGGAAACTGTAAAAAAAAGTCATGAGATTAAAAGAGACATTTGGAAATTTGTAGACATTTGATGACATTGAATTATTGCTAATTTTTAAAATGTGTGGTATGGTATTGTGGTGTTTGTTTTCAATACTCTTGAGAGATACATACCAATTTATTTCTAGGAGAAATGATATGATGCCTGGGGAGAGGGTAATGATGGGAGCACAAAGGAACAACATTGCCTCTGAGTTGATTATTGTTAGAGCAATGAGGCAATAGAGGCTCATTATATTATTCTGTGTTTTCTTTATATATGTCTGAAATTTTCCATTATTAAAAGATTATAAAAATTGAGATCATATTATAAACCAATCTAGATATGAATGTATATGTAGAGACAAAATTCTATAGTTATTTTCATTTAATATATATGTAAACAGTTTTCATGTTTGTTTTTAATTTTTTTGTTGAGGAAGATTAGCTCTGAGCTAACATCTGTTGCCAATCCACCTTGTTTGTTGCTTGAGGAAGATTAGGTCTGAGCTAACATCTGTGCCAGTCTTCCTCTACTTTACATGTGGGTCACTGCCACAGGGTGGCTGACAAGTGGTGTAGGTCCACACCCAAGATCTGAACCCATAAACCTGGACTGCCAGAGTGGAAAGCACAGAACTTAATAAATATGCCACAAGGTAGGCCCCTTCACGTTTTTTTTAAGGATATTCAAAAATAATCTTAATTACAATTCCTGAGAGGAACACTTTTTAAAGTAAGGGAGTCTCACCCTGTTCTATTATTATAATACTGCAGGACTTAGAAGAAAATACATTCTCTTTTCTTTAACAAAAATTTTCTTTCTTAATAATCTTTTGTGGATTGTTCTAAGAACCCACTTAGTTCTGCCTCATTATGAGAAAGTAGCTTTGTCTCATTATATTTTAATGAGATGAAAGATCACCATAGCCTACAGGACTATACATTTCCATATAAAGGGCTTTATTTCCTAGACAATAAGACAAAAATCCCCACCGTTATTCAATAACATCTTTCTACTGATTAAATTCAAGAGGTAATAAAATATGTCAAATTAGTTAACATTTAATATATTAGTTTTAGTTTCTGAGTACTAATGTTGTTAAGTGGAGTTCATAAAGATCATACTGATAGCATAGACATGAAGATTATTCCATCAACTCCAGCACTGCAGAAGAGACCACAAATATGGAGCCATCTAGTGATTCTGCTACTAAAGGACAGAGTTAGTGACTCTTCTAAAAATTTTAGCTTCTGGCTCCCAAATTAAGCTTATGCCACTTTCTAACACATCTAGTAAGGTTAAAATACTATCAGAGAGTCACCTTACTTGTTCGTGGGAATCAAAGACAATCACACAAAAAATAGTGAAATCATTCTAAAAGATGAGATTTGCATGGGCTGGAGAAAACTGGAAGGTGTGGGAATAGAAATGTAAGTGGAAAATGCCTTACAAATAGTAACTTCCCAATAAAAAATGTGTTTAGTGACTGTGAGGGATAATTCTTCCCTTAAAAGACAAAAAGAAGGCACTGGATGGGGCTCCACAGAGATATGTTGAGTTAGAAAAGAGGGAAATCAAGGGGCCCTAAGTGGAAAGGTCTTAATCTTCTTAGTAAGTGAAGAAGTGAGATCAAATAATGAATGGAAGTGAAGGAGTAGATGCGGAATTTGAGGAACCAGGAAAAAAAGCTGGACTACTTCCTGAGAAGGTGGAAAGAAATTAACTGAAAATGAAACAATTAAGAATTACGAAAAGGTACGATGCCATTCTATGATTTTCCCTGCTTGGTTGGAAGCCCGTAGAGGGCAGGGGCCACCCCTTGTTTATCTCCACGTCCCCATGCAGGAGTGCTCTCAACATGTCTGTAAATGAAGTAATCTCTTCAAAGAATGCAAGCACACCCAGAGCAAAACTCCAGGCCCTAAGTCAGATAGGCAGAGAAGTAAGCCAAGAAGCAGGAAAAAATATTAGAGGAAAAGTTCTTTGATGAATGTGAATAAAGACCGACATGAGAGAAGTGTCATCAGGGTAAACACTGTGCTCAGCTCAGAGCAGGCATTTAATATTAATCTGTCGAATTAATGGAAATACATTCCTGATCTCCCTTCAAACAGGGGCAGAACCCACAGTTTTGTATCAAAGTACTTAGGTGGATCCATCAGAAGTAGTTCAAGTAAGAGTCTAGAAGCAAATAAGTAGAACTGGAAGTTAGAAGAAGAGGCATTCATATAAAATTTGAAGTCATATAAAGGGAAAAAAGGTAGAAACAATATGACAAAAATAGCTAAATGAGTTATAATAATTGAATGACATTTTGAAGCGTAGATCATCTTGGAAGTTGGGATAAGACGAACTTGTTTTGGGGGGAAAGCCCTGATGGGATAATACGGGGAATATCCGTGCACTGGTGTTTTACCTCAGTTTATCTTTGGGAAGCTACTGAAGGCTACAGACTTACTCCATAGAAAAATTCTCATCTCCACATTTATTTAAAAATTACCATACAGAATTCAGTGGATTCAGAGACCTCTTGAGGCTTTCTAATAGACCAAATCCAGTGGTCCAAGGGCCTCAGGCTAAGAACCACTGCTCTCAAAGAGAAGCACAACTTAGGTGCCACACTTGGTGACAGACCAGCCACACCTCCTATTGAGACCTATCCCTCACATTCATTCAGCA